TATATATATATATATATATATAGTATATATATATTTTTTTAGACTTTAGAAACTCAGAAGGTGATCAAATATCGGGTTAAATATCGGTGGGGTGGCCGATGTCCGATATTCACTTTTAAGGCCGATACAGGCCGATACCGATAGGGGGCCGATTATATCGTGCATCCCTAATATAAACACATATATAAACATACATATATATATATATATATATATACATTTTTTTACAGTAAATTTACAGTCATTTTTACTATTTTTCAAGGCTGCCCTTTTAAAAGATGAAACTGTCCAGTGAGCTGTTTCCAAACAAAATTTCTTTGTGTTTTACACTTGTGTAAACAAATTGACAAATAAAATCTGTCTTATTTCTTTTATCTTTTAATGTGTCTTTCAGTTTATTTCATGTCTAGTTTCATGTTTTACATTTTTTTTTACCAGTTCTGTTATATCTTTGTTATTTCTTTTTCTGTATACTCAGTCCGATGACATTCAGCTGGAGCCTTTCTTGTTTTTTATTGCTACAAATTATCCTAGTCAGTTCACTTGTTCTCAGTCTGTTTTGCTCATGTCAACCACTTAACTGTCTTTTTTTGTGTTTTCTTTCACCCACCACTGGTGAATATTGGTTCCATGCCTCATACGTTTTTAAGCTTTTTTCATAGTGTTAAATAAGCCTCATCTGCTTATCTACATATGGGCCCAACTGAGATCCATAATTTCTGACAGCTTGAAGTCAAATTGAACCCAAAATATCATATATGTTCTTTATTAATACTGAATTATCCAAGGTTATTTTACAATGGAAAAATGAAGGCTTTCAATAAAGTCAATATTAAGAGAAAGATGCCCCCTTTTCTCTTTAAAAATGTAACCTTGAGATTCTGGCTAACATTAAGAGTTTCACCACATCAAAAGATTAGTCTTTAACACGTCTGTTTGAACAAAAACTCATTACATAAACTGGTTTCTGTGAGTGCACCACATGGCATTAGATTTTGGCAAGATATGGAAATTCGGTCCATGCACTGTTTTTTTTTTTCTTTTTAAATAGTCCAAACATTGATGACCTTACTATTCTATTTGACCAGTTCTTGTGTAAAAGAAATAAATCAAAACTGTGAGGTGTACATTTTCACATTTTTAAGTTTTTGTTCACATTTTTTCAGAAGCAAATCTTTAAATATTTAAGATGCTCTTGATCCTGCACACGTGAGCTAGTTAGAAATTATGTAACTGTGAGAAAAAACCCAACATTAGGTGTGTATGTCCCAGGTGTTGTATTGCCGTTTGTTGTGGGCAGGTCTCCTTTATAAATGGGAGGCTGACAGCCATCCAGGTGTTCACACAGGAATCCGAATGACAATGTTGGGGATTTTGATTGCTACTGCTATTTTCCTGGAGGCCGTCTCGGCCACCTCCGTAAGTTCCTCTTCAATTAGAAACTTCTAGAATCGAGGATTTCCAACATATTCCATATCGTTGTAGATTAATACATTCAAATTTGACAGTATTAGTTTTAATGAAACAGCTATATTAATGATATTGCTCCTTGATGGTGAATAGGGGATTTTTTTTCTTCTGTACTTACATTACGGTTGAGCAGACTGCTTAACCTTATTATAAATAGAATTTTGAATCCTTCATTTAATAATAACTAACCCAATTTATTGAATTTTTCTTTGCTGAACTCTTGCAGCTTGGTGTTGTCTCTACCGAGGGAGGATTTGTTCAGGGAGAAAATATTAAGATTGCTACCAATCGCTACATGGACGTTTTCAGAGGCATTCCCTTTGCTGCCGTCCCTAAAAGGTTGGAGAAGCCAACGCCTCACCAAGGCTGGGATGGTGAGTAAATCAGTCACAGGCCTTTGTAATCAGTGAAAATTGTCAGTTATATCTAATTAATGCTCACCTATTGCATGAGTTACATATGATGCGATAGTTCACATTAAAAGATGATGCATGGCCTTTCTTTAAACAAATGCAAATTATGTTAAACATATCTTCAGTCGGGGGAGATATTTGCAGTAAACATTTGACTAATCCCAATATCTAAAAGATGTTTTCATGCCAAATAATATACATGAAAAAGTACAGTTTATAAAATATACTGAGTTGAAAAATTCTCATCAGTTTTTAAACATTTGATCATTCAACTCAGTTACTGGACAATAAAAAGTAACTAGTTACTAGGCAACCTAACCATGTTTATTTTTCTTATCTAAAATGTCTATTCATTTTGATTTCTTTTGTCTTATGAAATGACTTTTGTGTTAACTGTAAATACAGCTGAGTGGGAGTTCACTTAACAGCTTTAAATGTTTAATATTAATCAATAAATTCAGCAATTAATAAATCAATTAATGAAAAGGACTTGATATCTGAAACATTGTATGCAAATATACACCATTGTAGTGTGTGTAGTGGGACAGGTGATTGTATTTCACATTAATGTTAACTTGATTATGGACTCATGTTTATAATAAGAGCGTAAAGCAAGTTTTATGTTTTAAGACAGGGTATAAAACTGAAAAACAGCTCTTTTTTTTAGGAAATTAACAAAAAAACAAAAACAAACAAATACTTTGTTAAAAAAAAAAAACATCAAATAGGAGTCACGCTATTCCAGTTCACTATAAAAAAAAAACAAAAAAAAAACACAACAGTAAACCATGCAGGGGAATTTAGTATAACGCTGACGCTTAAGTGCAATGTTTTGGAAAAGCACACATCTGTCAATGTTGTTGATAGATGAGACAATGAGAGGTGCTTCATCAGATTAGAGTTAATTGTAAAGATAAAGTCCTTGTTCACGGACTTACTGAGAAAATCACAGGAACATTTGGCCTTTGACTCCAGCAAGAACTTCAAGTCTAGTATTATCATTAATCCGCATTGCTCTCTGCAATGCTTTGCATCTCTCTACTCACTCTATGCGGGCAATCAAACCATGGCACTGCCCAAATTATGGACCATCAGCCAAATGACTACACATAAGCTAATAATAATAATCTCAGCGATCCTGCTAAATCTCTGCACAAAAAAATAACAGCTCTTTAACCTTAAATAAGAGAACCAACGACTATTAAAGGTTACTTTGATTAATCAAGTTAAAGTAATACAATGGATTAGAATGCAAGTACCACAACTAGGTTACCAATGTGTGTAACATATTTTTGTTAGATTACTACATTAATAAAAATCTAATCATGTTATTATCTGACGCTGTTGCTCCCATTTTAGATTCTTGTTTTAGTATTGATTCTTAAAAAGCGGTTCCAGTTTTGTCCGTCTGATTTAACAAAAAATCATGACATTGTAATATCACAACAAAGAGGGTGTCCAGCTTAAAGTACTCACATACATAAAATATCTGAGACACATGGTAATGCACAAGACCAGGCGTGCCCAAAGTCGGTTTCCCTGCTCGAGCACAGCTGATTTTCATTGAAAGCTGATTAGCAGGCTTTTGCGGAACTGCAATCATCAGAATCAGCTGTCCTGAAGCAGGAAAACCTCTAAAACCTGCAGGACAGTGGCCCTTGAGGACACACTTTGGACATGCCTGCGCCTAGACCTACTTCACCACTTAAATGCATGTACTAATAGCAATTGGATGGACAATTCTAAGTAAACTACATGTTGAGAAGAAATGTATTTTACCCCTCATTATCTATCTTAAAATTTGCCCTTGTGTGTCTGTCTCTCAACAGGTACTCTGAAGGCCACTAGCTACAAGGACAGATGCCTTCAGTGGACGGTAGTCATGGATGAAGTCATGGGAAGTGAGGACTGTCTCTACCTGAATATCTGGGTGCCTCACATCAATAAAGGTAAATCCTTGGACTGATCATAGTTTGTTGAAGGCTTGAACAAGAAAAACTTCTTAGCCCCCCCTTTTTTTTAGCTGCCGCAAATCTGCCCGTCATGGTTTGGATCTTTGGTGGAGCTTTCATGCTTGGAAGCTCAATGGGCGGTACCTTCCTAGATAACTATCTGTACGACGGACAGGAAATCGCAAACAGAGGAAATGTTATTGTTGTGACAGTAGGATACCGTGTGGGTGCTCTTGGCTTCCTGAGCACTGGTGACTCTTCTATGCCAGGTAGGTAACCTTTAAAAAGATTTTAATCTTCCTTTAGCTTTTTCTTACAAACTTCAATTGGATTCTTGTTTAGGAAATTATGGTCTGTGGGACCAGCATGCCGCCATCGCATGGGTGCACAGAAACATCAAATCATTTGGAGGAGATTCCAGCAAAATCACCATCTTTGGAGAGTCTGCTGGAGGAGCCAGTGTTAGCTTTCAGGTCAGAAACTGCTTCAAGTAAAAAGTCCTAAGTCAGTTTAAAGGTATTAAAAATACATATATTTTCTGTTTCAGACCATCACTCCTAAAAACAAGGGGCTTATTAAGAGAGCCATCTCGCAGAGCGGCGTCGCTCTTTGCCCTTGGGCTGTAAACAGGAATCCCCGCCAGTACGCAGAACAGGTACATGGGCTCTCGTAAAAGTTGTATTGATTATCTGGGTTACAAAGTCTTTAAGCCTAATAAAGGGCCATTTGTTTAACCTAATCCTCTAGGTTGCTAGGAAAGTCAACTGTCCCACCGATAGCCGCATGGCCAAGTGTCTGAAGATGACCGATGCCAAGTCTCTGACTTTGGCGGCAACTTTAGAGCTGTCTGGCTCTCCTGATTGTAAGCTGTACACTTATTTCTGGTTACTTATTGGGGATGTTTGCTGGAGCAAAACATTGTAAAGTGGATCACAATAAAGATCTTGATATTTTACAGCTATGTTGAATAGCATAAAAAAGAAATTTATATAAGAGATACAAAGAATGTGGCTAAATGGTTCATGATTAAACAGCTAAGCTGCCATAAACACTTTATTACTTTATTATTAGGTGAATGCACAAAGGCTTTTAATCACTTTAACCTTGCATTTTCAGCACTAAAATTATTATTGTCATTTTGTATAGGAAAAGGCTTCCAGCAATTAATAATCTAGAAATGACCCTCTTCTTTTTTAATTTACTTTACTAATATGGAACATTTAAAAAACTCAGTTTGAAAGCTTTCTGCATATACTCTGGGCATAAACACTTGTACCTAATTGTATAAGTTAGACCAGTTAAATCAAATATTTAATGTGTGGATTTTGAGAGGAGGCAGCAGCAGCCTATCCCACAGAATTACTAGGAGAGAGAAAAAAAATCAGAAACTAAAATATGCCCAGCTAATAGCTTTTAACTAATCAACATTTTGACCGTGTAATGTCTTACATATTTTGTTGTTGGATGAAAAAAACAGTCAAAAATGTATGGAAAACTATATTTTAACTTAATTTTCACTTTGCCAACAAATTCTACAGGACACTTAAATCATTGCAGTAATAAAAATTGGACTCACAAGTAAATTTACCTAAAATAATAAAAAAAAACTTTTATTTCATAAAGTTAAAATAACTTATGAGTAAATATGTGTTATTAAAATCCATATCCTAAAGTTCCTGTATAATCTGTATATAGTTTATTTATAGTTATTCTATAATCTCTTACTCTCTTTTTATAAATACACCATTTATAGTCAATACATACATTTTCTCCGTACACATGTAAATGAATATTTACATCCTGTATAGCACTTCTGGATAGATGCAAACTACATTTCGTTGCTATGTACTTGTGACAGTGTAATGATGATAAAGTTGAATTCTATTCTATCCTAAAGCAGGACCTTTAGACGCTTTGGGTAACATGACTTATTCAGTGAAGGATCTGACCATTTTGATTTACATAGGCATGTTTTTAAGAAGGGCAAGTAATGCACTGGAAAAACGACCTAGAAATAAGTACAAATATTCTTAAATTAAGTGTATTTACCCTTTATTTGAATATTTGAATAAGATGATCTGCCAATGGAATGAGTGTTTTTACTCTTAAAATAAGATATTTAGATAAGATGCACTTGAAATAAGACAATGCAATTTTGTTTTCTTATTATAAAGGTAAATTGTCTTGTTCCATTGGCATAATGTCTCTTTTACCTCCTCAATTCAAGAACAAATGCACTTATTTTGAGAAAAAAATGACTTACTGTATCTAGATTTAGATTTTTTCCAGTGTGCGTTCCAAGTTGTGAATATCGACCTGAGAAACCATTTGATCCAATACTTGGGTCAAAAGTTATACAGAGCTGCTTTAAACTGTGTCATCTTTGCATTGACTAAAATGTAATTCATTATGACCCATTTACCCCCATTGCCTTTATCGCCCTTAGATTCCCAATTGTGAATGAATTTAGCTCAAACATTAGAGGAAATTAACTTCACACTTTGTATGACGATTAATCGAACTCCATATCTCTGTTGGTCAGCTCCTGTGGTAAACAACATGGCTCTTTCTCCTGTGATTGATGGCGACTTCTTGCCGGATGACCCGTCGAACCTGTTCCACAACGCCGCTGACATTGACTACATGGCTGGAGCCAATGACATGGATGGACACATCTTCACAGGCATAGACGTTCCATCAATCAACTCGCCCCTCTTGACGACAACTGTGTGAGTAGTAATAGACTTAATAAACATTACGATATATTTTATGTTGGGAGCAGGTCAGGATCAAAAAGATTTATACCAAACTTGATTTCAAATGTCAATGTTCTATGAAAAAGAGTCATTCATCTAAGTGTCCAAAATTCTCCTCCTTACTGCAGTGATGATGTGAAGGGGCTGTTGCGCTCCTTCACCAAGGAGAAGGGAACGATGGGTTATGAAAATGCCTATGCCACATACAGCGCAGATTTGGGATCCAAACCCAGCGGGGAAACTATCAAAAAAACCGTTGTGGCCGTCGAGACAGACTACCTTTTCCTGATTCCCACTCAGGCTGCTCTTTTCCTCCATGCCTCCAAGGCCAGGTAAAAAAAAAAATGTATATATTAAATATCAGTCTCAGTTATTTCAGACATTCCTGTGCAGCTCCCATACTAAACTATCAAGCTGAGAAAGAGAGTGCATTTATTCTGTGGAAGTTTTAAAGCACCAGAGAAGAGAGTGAAGTCAGATTAAGTTTCTTGATTAAGAAAAGCCACCTTTGGGCATTCTTGACCTATGACTGTGAAAGCTTTCCTTCCTGAAAGTTCTTGGTACCGATGTATGATATTCAATATTTATTTTTGTGGACAGAAGCTTAATCTTTTATAAACCATTTTGTTTCATTGATGGTTATCGTTTTGAGCAAATCAGATGAATAATAGGAAGAAAAAAAAAGATGAAAGTAGTGCAGATTATATGCTTTCAGCAACACAGATGTGTGAGCAGCCGCAATATAAGTGACATATAGAGATTTATTGACAACACACTTAACATCGATAAACACAGAGCTAGTTACACGATCCTTTATGTTGAAAACAATTCACCTACATATTGTAATTGATCTTCATATTAGAAGACACCCTCAAGGTATCTTCATTTTTCATTTGATCTGATGATTTTTGATCAAAAGTATGGGCAGACAATTGCTAGTGATGCAATAACCCCACTTCTAAAATAAAACCACACCACTGGACACTGGATAACCTTCTCTGTTAGATGTCATCACATACAGTAATGGTGTGCTGGAATTATCCAGACAAGAAAAAAAGGCTTCTAGTTGAGTGTCAGCACCTAGTTCACCCTGGACCTTTAAAAAGGTCATTGCATATGTTTCACTCCATTGTCTGTCTGTGTTGCACTTTTTCTGGTTATTCTGTAGCTCCAATTTGTGAAATATATCTCAAAATATAATAGAAATAACAAATTTCTTTACTTGAAAACAATATCCAGAGACAGATATTTGAATATTTGAGTCGCATAAAAAGATTTCTGTCTGGAGACAACAAAATGTATGAGATCATCTTGGAGGTTCACCTTCAAGCACGACCATGACCCTAAATACACCCAGAGAAAATATGTTGAATGTTCTTGAAGAGATACACGCAGTAAATGGTGAATTCTCCAGAGTATTAGCTTAATACTTATGAAAACTCACTATTCGCCACCTTGCTTAAAAAGTCAACAGCCGTCAAGTTTTCAATCCCTAGTTACCCATTCACCACCTTAAAGTCAACACCTTGCATGGCTTCCATGTGCTCTATGCAGGGTCTTTTTTTCCAAACTTGCATGATGCCTTGCAAGGAGATGAAATTTATTTTTTTATCCTCATCTAGCTTGTGTTTGCAATCATTATCCTTTAACCCAAGGCCAATGCCTTACACTGGCTGCAGCCTCAGGCACCCTTCCCCTCATATAGGCTGTTGTATTTTGTCTCTTGGATGGGTTGCTCTGGAACACATTTCATTGTGCTGATTCTTAAGGAGGTATAAGATGTAAACAGTTAGTTATATGCCAAACTTTTGTGATGTTTATTTTAAAGAAATAGAAGATCAGACGTTTTTATTTCTTTTTCACACCACATTAGTAAGATCTCTTATTTTTGTGCGTCTCAAATTCAAAATAAACAACATTTAAGGTTTGTTGTATTTAGACAAACAAGGAAAGGTGTCAATACTTATCTGAGGTGCTGAATCTTTGTTAAATTTTCCTCCAAAGAACTGGTCGCACCTACTCGTACCTGTTCTCTGAGCCCAACCGTATGGGAGGCACCTTAGAAGCCTTCCCCAGCTGGCTTGGAGCTGACCACGCTGATGACTTGCAGTACGTCTTTGGAAAGCCATTCTCCACCGCACTGGGATACTTTCCACGTCATCGTGACGTTTCTGGATATCTGATTGCCTACTGGACCAACTTTGCCAAAACGGGGTATAACAGCAACACAAAATACATTTAGCAACTCCAGAAACTGATCACTTTATTCCTGACATTTTCTCTCTTTCTTGTTATGGTTCCAGAGACCCTAACTCAGGAGGTCTGAGCGTTCCTGCTACGTGGCCAGCATTCACATCCAGTGGACACCAGTTTGTAGAGATCAATGCAGATATGGACGGCAGCTACGTTAAAAAGGACCTAAGGATGCGTTATGTGAATTTCTGGACCAGTACCCTGCCTAACCTTCCTACGATCTACTCAGAGGAATGAGCTTGTGCTTATCATGAGGCCACTGATCAGGGTTGGTTTGAAAAAATAAATCAATATTAAAAGCAAAGCTCTTGTTTCATTTTTCTTTTTATCAATAGTAATTGTGTTTAGCTTTTTTGTCTTTAAAAAACCTTATAATACTTTATCCATAAATAAAGTACATGTTTGATCTAATTTCAGTTAGGTTAAAGGTATTTTGGAGGTTTTTCGCAAAGTTTTTAAAAGATCCGCCCTCTCCACTTAAAAAAAAATGCACATGCCAGAGGATGCACAAACCCATTTCTCCTTGTATACGCTGTATTAAACAGTTTCTGTTCTCATAGCTCATACAAGCTTACTATGTGCACACATCCTCCCTAACCCCTAAATTCCTTAATCATTATATACAGCGGGGACTATATAGTGGTCTTTATAGCGAACTTGGGTAACTGAACGTTTGGTCAGTTACGTAACTTCTCCTCCACTGCGCGGTGACTGCGGCATCTTTCTTATTAGTCGCCGCAATCGGGTAGAGGAAGCCTTTGGCGACAGCAGACAACGGTGACAGCAATTCCCATAATGCTTTGCGGGGGGAGCTCTCCGCACAAAGCATTCCAGGATATATCTGCCTCTTCTGAGGCCTTTCTTTTCTCCTCACACACTTCATAGAACCATGACCCCCGGCCATTTTCAAAGAACAGCGGTGAGAAAGGTGAGCTTCAATGACTGTCTGAAACCGTAGTTCACCACAGATATACACTCACCGGCCACTTTATTAGGTACCCCATGCTAGTAACGGGTTGGACCCCCTTTTGCCTCAATTCTTCGTGGAAGCATTCCTCAGGGAGTTTGGTCCATATTGACATGATGGCATCACACAGTTGCCGCAGATTTGTCGGCTGCACATCCATGATGCGAATCTCCCGTTCCACCACATCCCAAAGATGCTCTATTGGATTGAGATCTGGTGACTGTGGAGGCCATTTGAGTACAGTGAACTCATTGTCATGTTCAAGAAACCAGTCTGAGATGATTCCAGCTTTATGACATGGCGCATTATCCTGCTGAAAGTAGCCATCAGAAGTTGGGTACATTGTGGTCATAAAGGGATGGACATGGTCAGCAATAATACTCAGGTAGGCTGTGGCGTTGCAACGATGCTCAATTGGTACCAAGGGGCCCAAAGAGTGCCAAGAAAATATTCCCCACACCATGACACCACCACCACCAGCCTGAACCATTGATACAAGGCAGGATGGATCCATGCTTTCATGTTGTAGACGCCAAATTCTGACCCTACCATCCGAATGTCGCAGTAGAAATCGAGACTCTTCAGACCATGCAACGTTTTTCCAATCTTCTATTGTTCAATTTCGATGAGCTTGTGCAAATTGTAGCCTCAGTTTCCTGTTCTTAGCTGAAAGGAGTGGCACCCGGTGTGGTCTTCTGCTGCTGTAGCCCATCTGCCTCAAAGTTCGACGTACTGTGCGTTCAGAGATGCTCTTCTGCCCACCTTGGTTGTAACGGGTGGTTATTTGAGTCACTGTTGCCCTTCTATCAGCTCGAACCAGTCTGGCCATTCTCCTCTGACCTCTGGCATCAACAAGGCATTTCCGCCCACAGAACTGCCGCTCACTGGATGTTTTTTCTTTTTCGGACCATTCTCTGTAAACCCTAGAGATGGTTGTGCGTGAAAATCCTAGTAGACCAGCCCTTCTGGCACCAACAATCATGCCACGTTCAAAGTCACTCAAATCACCTTTCTTCCCCATACTGATGCTCGGTTTGAACTGCAGGAGATTGTCTTGACCATGTCTACATGCCTAAATGCACTGATTTGCCGCCATGTGATTGGCTGCTTAGAAATTAAGTGTTAACGAGCAGTTGGACAGGTGTACCTAATAAAGTGGCCGGTGAGTGTATGCCTGAAAGAGCACATGCACTGAAAAATATCAATAAAGAGAAGAGCATGTGCGATAGCCTTCCGTAAACATATACCGGTAACCAAAATGATTGACAATTAGGAGGACCACTTATTGAGATGATCCACCCAGAAATAAAAGTTTGTCCTCTATACTTATAACAGTTTCACACAATTATTCCTTCAATTGTTATTTGACAAAAATAACAGCAGATGGCGCTGATGAATTTATATAATAATTCCTGAACTGTAATTAGAAATCATAATTTTTTTGCCATTTTGTCTCTAGTCCCAAATATGTTAACAGAGACACAATTCATGGTAATTTCATTATTAAAGAAAACTGTATTTTAACCATTTCTTTCCCCTTAACAGTGTGTCCATGTATTCAGTAAGTTAAAGCCTCCAGGGCTCCCTGTTTTAATGAATTATATATATGTAGTTTTAACTGATTCATATTTCACTACATGACTTTATAAATTTATGCCATCTTTTTGAATGAATTAGTTGAAATGTGTTTACTTAGCAACATAAAACCTAAGTACATAGAATAGAATATATGACATACAAATGAACTGACAAAAAAACATTTTTAATTTCAAAGAGGAGTGTTAAAAAAGTGCTGTAAAACATAAGATACTTATTAATACATTTTATTTCTTAAAAGACTTTAAAAAGTTAGTGAGCTTAATAGGTCGTAGTATAACCTTAATACTTCACTCAATGGTCTAAAACAGAAAACAACTTAATTTGTTTTGTTACACCTCTAACCAGAAAAGGGTTAGAAGCTTAAATGGTGGTCATGTCATGTGTCAAACGAAAATCACAACATGCTTCTCAAAGAAGGGTCTAAAAATTAAAGCATTAAAACAAAAAGTAAAAAGAAATGTATAAACTCATCCAAAATAACATTTAAAAAGATCTTAAAGCAGATTTAGAAAAGAATGTTTGCAGTTTTTTGTTTAAATAAGCTAAAGCTTTCAACACAATGTAGACTAAGCATTTGGACTATGGGTAATTTTTTCTGAAAACAATTACTGGAGTTGTTGTATGTGGCTCTAACAGATAAGCAGGGAAGTAACCGGACCAGGTAGCAGCTTTAAAATTTAAGCTGGGTTCCAAAATAATGGTACTGCTTTCAAATCTAAAAAACGTGGAAGATGATCTTGCTATGAGAAAATCTATAACCATATAACTCATTAGTAGGGTTACTTTAATAAAAAGGACGGCGTTGCCAAAAATAATATATATATTTTAATTATTCCGAGCAAACAATCCCCAGAATGGTTTCAATCTTTAGATTCGTCCATTACAAAATTTCTCTGGATATATTTAGCTTAAAAATGCTACAGAAGACCGAAGACAACGGAGGATTAGATCTGCCCGTCTTCTATCATCACGTCCTAAAAAACAGGCTACTATAAATCTGTAAATGGCTAAAAACAGCTCAAAATATGAGTCCTTGTTAGAGGTAGAGCATTCTCTATCAGCTAAGAGTACTCTTGCAGATTTTCATTAGTTTAAACATAAAAAGGCATATATGTTTCAAAAGCATCAGCATTAGCTCATCTTTGACAGCTTGGTTGGAGTTTCTTGAAATTATGCACTCATCTTTACCAAACCTTGTTAAAAGAAATTTTTTATTATTTATTTTTATTTATTTTTATTCCTAATGCACCTTTTCCTCCTTGTTTGCACCTTCTTTAATTACTATGCCAATATGTGACCAGTGAATTTCTCCGCTGTGAGATCAATATGCTCATCAAAATCTAATCTAATCTAACTGAATTCTTGGAACATTTATTTGAAGGAAATAATTTTATCCTGTTTTGCATTGTATTTTGCAGTATGGGATTTCAAAATATGTATTTCTATAAAATCAACAGATTAGGTCTATAATAAAAGACAGATTTAACATCAATGAAGCAGGTATACAAATGGATGTTTCAGATGGGTTTTGGGTTTTCAGTCTGATATCTGCTTTCATTTCTCAAGTAATGCACCAGATGACTACATGCATTATGGGTATGCGTTCATGTACAGAGGTTCTGGTTTCTGACATGTGAGGATCTGTCAAAGTGTCTCAGATGTAATATTTCACCTTCCCCCTCAGTCTGTTTTGGCTGGTAACCTTGACGATGTCACCTTTTATAGTGGATCCCTCTATGTCATCTTCAATGCCTTATGTATCACGAAGAGGGTACTGGGGGATGATTTTGAGCGCTTCTGGGCCTCTGGGGTCTGGAGGCTTCCCGGGGAGGGTTGCTGGGGGGTTGGATCTCGGCTCAGAATGTTCTTTTGATTATACTTGTGAAAAATACATCATAAATACTTTAAAAGAAATCAAAATAAACCACAACATTCTCCAACTATTTTAGTTGACAAATTTCTCAAATACTAATTGTTTGATAAGTTTTCATTTACTTCAAGAGACATTAAAGACATTGATAGGCTGAAACTAGAGCTAAGAACACTTTGGACACCATGCAATTTACTGTGTCTTTTCAAACTGTTTTAAAATGGCTATAAAACATGAACATGAGGGTAAATCAACAAAAGCACATGATGAGAACTTTGTTTTTTGCTCAGCATTTTGAAAGTGATTTGTCCTGTTGAAACATCATATGTTTAGTTTAAAGCTTTCACCCATTGAAGTTTGAGTTAACAACATGATGAGATCCAAAGAGCTGACAGGGTTTTTCAGAGAGAACACCAAAGCAGATTATGATTCCAGTGAGCGACTTAAAGATATCAAGAACTGGGAAAAGCTGGTCACCTTTTATGGTATGCATACAAAAGTGGGGAAGATTTCAAACAATTCCCAGTCTACAAAGGTCTCCAAGCAATTCATCCTGAAAGCAGACTACAAGATGCAACATTAAAGTTGTAAAACTCAGATATCAATCTCCAACTCTTAATGACCAGTGTCCAGCTAACTTTATGTATATGTCTACTTCACAAAAAGGACTTGATGGTCTATTTGAACTACAAAGTGTCCACACTACACATCCTATGGGGAGGGCTATGCCTATCCTTGCATGTGACATCAGAGGGAGGCCTAGGTGATGGCTCATGAAAGTATTATGTTACTCAGCTGTTT